ACATGGATAGGACTTGGAATTACTTATATAGTCACATTATCATTGAAGAATAAAATTGTGTAAGCTGTAGTGATTTACCAGTACTTAGGGTGTTTGTTCTTTTTGGTCTTTAGGCATCCCCTGAAAGCATGCTATCTCCATCACATGGCTCAAATCCCATGGAAGATCCTTTAGAGGCAGAAACTCAGCACAAATTTGAAATGTCAGGTAAATAATAAGGCTAGGAAATCTGTATTCTGTAACTAACTTGGAATCATTTGCTTTGGCTTCTGAGGGATTGTGGGTTGTGGGCAAGTAGAGGAGATAGAATAGGTCAGCATGCAAAGGAGAGCTGCAGGGGATTATTGTCCATAGGAAGGGGAAATCTAAGGTGGAAAACTTCAGGTAGTCTTTCTCTCCTCTGCAGACTCATTGAAAGAAGAATCAGGGACTATTTTTGGAAGCCAGATAAAGGTATTTCAGACTTTTCTTTATTCCTCTTGGTGTGTGACTAGATTTCCCTATAGCACTACCTTTTTAACGAATTTCAGTAAACTCCCATCCTTATTCTCTGAGATGAGACTGGTTTAGGAGTTGCATGGGGAAGAGCTGCAGTGGACAGTTAGGTGTAGTGGGAATATTATGGCAACATGTGCTTCCCATCTGAAAATTTGTGAATATCATACAGACCTTTCTTTGCATATAATGCACAAAGAAGCTTTGATATATTCAAAGAGATATATCAAATGAATAGGGATACTAGAGACAGGGAGAACATATAAGAAATTAGATTATTAGTTATACTATTCAGAGGAAATCATCCTAAGCTTTCTTTTTAGAATTACTAAAGTAGTAGTAACAAATAGATTCAAAGCGATGTGAGCTTGCTCCATCAGATAAGACACAAAATAAAAGCTATTTTTGATAACTTTGTACCCAGGGTCAGAGTTCCTCTCAAGAGCAAGGGGAAAGAAGGAACGCCTCTTAGCTTAGTCTTAAGTAAGTAGCTTTTTTTGTTTCTTCCTTTTAAAAAGATCCTGGCTTTGTCCAGGTTCTAAATTACTTGATCACTCAGTGTCTGTAAGTGGATGGTAGGATAAGCGGTAGAGGGCTCAGTCAGGAAACAATGTGAGGTCATTTTCTAGAACTGATCTAACCCAAAAGGCAGATTATGTTTAATGACGCTTTGCATAATGACTTTGCTTGCATTTGCTAACTGGAGCACACTGTGTCTAAGGATGCCCCAGGTGAGGATGAGGAGGAAGATGGAGTCAGTGAAGCAGCCAGTCTAGAGGAGCCTAAGGAAGAAGATCAAGGAGAAGGCTATTTGTCAGAAATGGATAACGAACCCCCTGTGAGCGAGAGTGATGATGGCTTTAGTATACACAATGCTACTCTGCAGTCCCACACACTGGCAGACTCCATCCCCAGCAGCCCTGCTTCTTCTCAGTTGTGAGTATCTAAGATTCTTCCTTTGAGGTCAAGGCAGTGAAGGTGAGAAGTAGGAGAGGATCTTTTCTTTAATCTTACTTTTTCATCTTCCCTTTCTTGGCCTGGAACAAATACAGGCATACCTCGGAGATACTGCGGTTTTGGTTCCAGACCACCACAATAAACTGAGTATCACAATAAAGCGAGTCATAATCTTTTTGCTGGTGGAGGGTTTTGCCTTCAATTTGTAAAAAATGTAACATCTGTGAAGCTCAGTAAAGCAAAGCGCAATAAAATAAGGTATGCCTGTAGTTGACAAGAAATAATTAGGACTTTTTTTTTTTAAAAACTTATGTCTAGTGGAACTTCTGTATTATTTTTATTTTAGCTCTGTCTGTAGTGAGGATCAGGAAGCTATTCAAGCACAAAAAATCTGGAAGAAAGCCATCATGCTTGTATGGAGAGCCGCAGCTAATCATAGGTGAGTAGGGACTTTACCAGTTAGTAAGAACATTTTCTCCTCATTGTTGGTGACTAGAAAAAAATTTGAGTAGGCTTATTTGGGGCTGGAAGCATTGGCTCTTAACAACTTTCAGCCACTTTGGTCAAGTTCTCTCACCTCTGCTTCTGGAGGATAAGCCAGTAATTGCATCTTATTCTCTTTGGACAGATATGCCAATGTATTTCTGCAGCCTGTTACAGATGACATAGCACCTGGCTACCACAGCATTGTGCAGAGGTAAGCCATAATCAGTTCAGCATGCCAACTTCCCTGGATTGTAAGTTGTCCAGTCTTAGTGGATTTTTGCTTTGGACAGTAAGTTTAAAGCAAATGTTTTTGATGTGAGTAAAGATGACCAACTGCTAATTATTATTATTTCAGCAGCTGGGTCACTAATGATAGTCTAAAAGAATTAACCCCTTTTATTTCCTTTCTCAATACTTGTTATACAGGCTGACTTTGGTTTTTGGGTTCAGTGCATGTTTCAGGGTGAGGGTTTAGTGTTCAAGTCCTGGCAGCTGGAATTAGCAGGATGTGTGAGAAGATCTATATGGTAATAATATATTCAGGGATCTAGTTGAGTCCTCTTCCCCTCTCCTAGATTTACCTGTTGTTCTTTTTCAGGCCAATGGATTTGTCAACTATTAAGAAAAACATTGAAAATGGACTGATCCGCAGCACAGCTGAATTTCAGCGTGACATTATGTTGATGTTCCAGAATGCTGTAATGTATAATAGCTCGGATCATGATGTCTATCACATGGCAGTAGAGATGCAGCGAGATGTTTTGGAGCAGATCCAGGTACTTTGAGGATCCTCAGTTTTTTAGCATGGATGAAATGATAATACTCAAGGGAATGATTCACATTGATGTCAGGAAAGGGGTGGCTTTTACTTGGAATAGCCATCAGGCAGAAACACAGGAACATGAAATTTTATTCTTGTTGGATTCATGTTAGGTTTTTAAAAAATACATATTTTTATTTTCAGAGTGGAAAGGAGAGGGAGAGATAGATAGATAGATAGATAGATAGATACATCAGTGATGAGAGAGAATCATTGATCAGCTGCCTCCTGCACGCCCCACACTGGGGATCGAGTCCACAACCTTAGGCATATGCCCTGAACAGGAATCAAACCGTGACCTAGTTCATAGGTTGATGTTCAACCACTGAGCCCTGTCTGCCGTGCTCATGTTAGTTTTTTCATGTTGGTTTGGTAAATGAGTTGTGAGAGAATAGTCTTATCTTTCTTAGGCAAATTTCCTGAAATTTTAAAATAAAATTCTTATAAAATGATGAGTGTATATTTTGTATTACATTAAGTATAAGTATAGTAGACAGTCAATAAATAGTTCATTCTTTTTCATCACAGATAACTTATTTCTAACCTATAATTGCATTGCCAGGCACCGTTTGGAATATTGAACTTGAAGGGATGTGGTCTATCTCTGCAGAGTCTGCCAAATTACTTAAATTACTTGGTGATCTTTGGTTCATCTAGTTTTATTCTTAGAGAATAGAAATTTTGATCCTATGTTATAGCAAAAAAAAAAAAAGTTAGAGCCATTTGGCATTTTTAGATTCTTGAAAATGTACAACAAAAATTAAAAGTGATCTAAATTTCTAGAAGTATTTGAATGCTGATTGCAAAAGGGTACTATATGAAGTTCTATTTACAAAGCCTAAGGTGTCTTTAATTCTTCCCTACTGGATCTGGTCTCTAGGGCCAACTGTGTTTCTTCTCCCTACAGCAATTCCTGGCCACACAGTTGATTATGCAGACATCTGAGTCTGGGATCAGTGCTAAAAGTCTTCGAGGAAGAGATTCTACCCGCAAACAGGATGCTTCAGAGAAGGTGAGGAGACCAAGAAAGAGCCTTTTTGCCATTGTTCCAGTGCTAGAAGTCTGAAGCATCAAAAGAACTTTGTTACGGCTTGGTATTGTTGGGCTTCTATATTCCAATGGTGTACGTACTAGGTGTACCAGTTAATAATGCGGATTTTTTTCCATAGATGGAGTTACACATATGTTGATATTTATGCTGTTTTGTTGTATTGGCAGCAAGCTTCAAAACTTCATATGTCAAATTTGCCGAAGGTGTTAACATCGTTGATATTTTTACACTTAAAAATGTTGAATTTCGTGCCAAAAAAAGAGCATTTGTGGAAGTTTTAATTCATTACTTTATTTTGAAGAAAAGTGCTCCTGAAAGTTATCGTATACTTCAGGAAGCTTATGGTGAACATGCTCCATCTCAAGATACTTGTGAACACTGGTTTAAACGCTTTAAAAGGGATGATTTTGATGTGAAAGACAAAGAACGTCCAGGTCAACCGAAAAAGTTTGAAGACTAACAATTACAAGCTTTATTGGATGAAGATGCATGTCAAACTCAAAAACAACTTGCACACAGATTAAACGTTGCTTAGCAAACAATTGCCAATCGTTTACAAGCAATGGGAAAGATTTTAAAGGAAGGAAAATGGGTGCCACATCAATTGAACGAAAGACAAATGGAAAACGGAAAAGTCATCCGTAAAATGTTGCTTCAGCGGCATGAAAGAAAGCCTTTTTTGCATCGAATTGTGACTGGCGATGAAAAGTGGATTTATTTTGAGAATCCCAAGTGCACAAAATCATGGGTTGATCCAGGTCAACCAACAACATCGACTGCAAGTCCAAATCACTTCGGAAAGACGACAATGCTCTGTGTTGGGTGGGATCAGGAAGGTGTGGTGTATTATGAGCTTTTAAAACCAGGTGAAACCGTTAATACTGATCGCTACCAACAACAAATAATCAATTTGAACCACGCTTTGATCGTGAAACGACCAGAATGTGCCAGAAGACACGGCAAAGTAATTTTGCTTCATGATAACGCACCATCACACACTTCAAAACCAGTTAAAGACACCAAAACCAGTTAAAGACACGTTAAAAGATCTTGCCTGGGAAGTATTAACCCACCCGCCGTCTTCACCAGACTTTGCTCCTTCACATTACCACTTGTTCCGATCAATGGCACATGCACTTTCTGAGCAGCACTTCAAAACGTACGAAGAAGTGGAAAATTGGGTCTCTGAATGGTTTGCCTCAAAACAAAAGTTTTATTGGGACAGTATCCACAAATTACCTGAAAGATGGGGGAAATGTGTAGCTAGTGATGGACATTACTTTGAATAAAGCACTTTTAAAAAATATATCTTTATTGATTTCAGAGAGGAAGGGAGAGGGGGAGAGAGAGGAATATCAATGATAAGAGAGAATCATTGATGGGCTGCCCCCTACACGTCCCCCACTGGGGATCAAACCTGCAAACTGGGCATGTGCCCTTGGCCAGAATCGAACCCAGGACCCTTCAGTCCACAGGCCCATGCTCTATCCACTGAGCCAAACCAGCAAGGGCTGAATAAAGCACTTTTGATGTTTCTCTTGAAATTACCGTGTTTTCTTTGATTACAAAATCCGCATTATTAACCGGTACACCTAGTACAGATTTTAGAATGTTGGTCATTTGCTTCCATCCAAACAGAAGTAACCTTCTGTGACTGGAAGGCTGGCCCAGTCACCTGGGAGAAATTGTGAGCTGAGTGAGCAAATTACTAATTCTTCTAAGAGTGCTCGCAAGATGGAGTAAATGACTTGGCTTGTAACAAGTTCCAGAGGCATAATGGCCAGATTGCTTTTGGATCTCTTTCCTCTTGTTCTTGAGTTTTTAAGTTTTGTCTGTGTGTGTGTGGTGCTTGTGTCTCTGTCCTGAGGTTTGGGGTGCTTATGGCTGAGAGTTTCTGTGGAACCTGATCAGTGTTTGTTTGTCCTCTAACAGGACAGTGTCCCCATGGGCTCTCCTGCCTTCCTTCTCTCTCTCTTTGTAAGTATTGAATGGCTGCAAGGGGTGGTGTTGCCACAAAGATTCTCTGCTCCCGCTGGGGGTGGGTGGCAGAGGGAAAGCCAACATGCAGACTGTAGCAATGTGTTGAACTTCCGTTTATTCAGGTCATTGAATAAGAATCTGTCTCTTCTGCATTCCTGTCTTTCTGCATGTGTGTGTGTGTGGGCTGGGTAGGGACTTTTTATGAGTTCACTGGGCTGGAATGAGGTATTGGTAAGGATCTAAGATGTACCGCTCCTCATTTCCTGACTCCACCTTTTGCCAATTCTTTTCTTACAAATAGAAAATTATTCAGAGCAGCAGCTGCTAGCTGGCTTTTGAAAAGTGTTCCTCATACTAGATACTCAACACACAGTTTTTATATTTTCCCCTAATATTAAGTTGCAAGAGTGATGTCTGATACATAAACATTCAGTAAAATATAAGATAAAGATCTCGGTAACAATGACCACTGCAGAGAATAGTGGCTGGTGCAAATAGTGATAAGCTTAGGAAAGCTAGCCTAAAGACTTTTATTCCTTTCTCCATGAATTGGAGACCCTCTGACTGTTACTCATTTTGGGGCGCTGAGACATGATATAATGGAAAGGGCATTAGGCTAGATAGAAAAACCACATGATCTTAAATTGACTGGATTATTTCTTGGAGCCTTGTTTTCCTCATCTGTCTGCTGGAGCTAATATAATGATGTACCTGTCCAGCCTACCTCACAGGGATGTTGTGAGGATAAAATGAGATAAGAGGTATGGAACTGGCTTGAAAAAAATTAAAGTGTTATACAAATACAAGATGGTATTTTTATTTTTACTGTTGCTTCATAGGCAACTTGTGTTGGTGAGCTCTAAATATTGAGTCCTTTAATGTTAGAAATGTTAAAATGGCCTGGCCAAGCAAAAGTGTTCGTTCATCTTGCCTACAGGCCTCAGCCTGTACCACAGACAGAACACTATAATCTCCGTTCTTTTTTATTGGCCTGCAACAGTGACTGGATCCCCAAGCAATTGGCTGGCTGTTACAAGGCTGGTTAATAGGATCTTTTATCTATGGAAGACAGCAATGTATTGCACAAGAGGAAGGATCTGGGCTGCAGGGAGAGAGCAGCAGATGGAAAGAAGCCTTCTGATTGTCCTGATCTCATGGAAAACAACTGTCAGGAGGTGCTAGGGAACTAGTGCCAGGGTCAGTCTGCAGGAAAGGCCTTTCTTTAGGGACCAACAAACAGCTGGACAGGTATGTTAGCTAAGAATCTCACTATCCACTGCCCTTTCTGACTCTCCCACCTTTTACTCTTTCTGTTCCTTTGCACATAATTTGGGGGCTGCGGAGGGATGACAAATAGTCATTTTGTGGGCCCCAGATGAACTCCAGCAACCTCTGGTGGGCAGGAGCAAGATACTCTATACTATACATTCTCTTACGAACTACTACCAGGTGATTTTTACCACACACTATGGGAAGACCTATATCCCCCTCATTTCCTGGATTTTTCTGCTGATTCCCCTCTCCCCTAAGAAATCAAATCCCCAGCATTCTTGTTCTCATTTTTTAACCAACTCATTCATGCTCCCTTTCTTTGTCTGCCTGTCATTTAGGATGGTGGCACCAGGGGTCGCCGCTGTGCCATTGAAGCAGATATGAAGATGAAAAAGTGAAGTCTCAGAGTACCCTCATTGAGCTGAACCCGAAAAAAGAAATAAACAAGTTAAAGTGTGGGCTTGTGGGCCCAGTTCCAGAATTGGGAGTTAACAGAAGAGGAGGCTCCTGGGCCATGTGACATGATCTGGGAAAATCTCAGAGAGTTGGAGTAGCATAATTGCCTGTTTTAGGGCAAAAATCATGGGCTGTGTTAATGTCCTAATGTGTAACTAACAGATTGTAGCTAATTTGTACCGTCTTGTGAAGTGTACAGACTTTAAAAAAAAAATCTGTGAAGTGTTTGTGTTCACAATAAACTCTGAAAGAAAACTCGTCTGGTGTGTTCTGTGTGTGTGTATGAAACCTGTGATTTCTTCTGCATGATAACTGTTCTGTCATTTGTTAGAGAGGGAAAGTGGTCTTATAAAATGAATTATTCTGTTACAACTCAGAGAAGGTAAATAACCAAGATTTAACTTGTAATTAACGTTTTAAAGCAGCGGTCGCCAATCGCACCTCACGGACCACCAGTGGTCTGGAGACCACCAGTTGGTGACCACTGCTCCAGAGGTTTCTTAAATCAGCGGTCGCCAACCTTTTGGACCTCGCGGACCATTGGTTGGCGACCGCTGTTTTAAAGTGTTGCGTTGTGCAGTAAGGACTCTTATTCAGCTTTTCTTGAATATTTGGAAAAACTTAAAGGGTTTAAAAGTTTTGTTCATGTCATTGCCCTAGATTTGAGCATGGATATATTGGTAGTGCTGACCTTTATTTCATTTATTTATACATAATACTATGCAGATAGTATTTCTAGGATAGTATATTACTGTTTCCTTATCAATTTCTATGTGTGGAGCTCTTAGGTGTTTTAGGATTCATAACATTGCTATTTGAAGGCTAAACTGAGTTTGAGTTATCAAATTTATTTATCACTTGAGTTTATTCTAACTTCTCTTACTACATAAGAATTAACTCCATGGAAACTAGTCATGAGCCTTTTATTATAAAGAGATGGAGATTAATAGGGTATTGCCTGGTACTTTGAGCCTTCTTGAGAAAGATGGGTTTAAGAAAGATGATTAGGCCCTAGCCAGTTTGGCTCAGTGGATAGAGCATCAGCCCAAGGACTGAAAAGTCCCAGGTTCATTCCAGTCAAGGGCATGTACCTTGGTTGCAGGCTTGATCCCTTGCCCCAGTCAAAGCTTGTGCTGGAGGCAACCAATTGATGTGTTTCTCTCACTTCCATGTTTCTCTCTGTCCCCCTCCCTTCCACTCTTTCTAAAAATCAATGGAGGATTAGCAAAAAAAGAAATAGCTAATGTCTAATGAGTATATTTTTTTTTTTTTTACTAATTTCAAAGAGGAAGGGAAGGAGAAACATCAATGAGAGAATCATTGATCGGCTGCCTCCTGTACGCCCCACACTGGGGATCAAGCCTACAGCCTAGGCATGTGCCCTGACTGGGAATCAAACCATGATCTTCTGGTTCATAGGTTGCCGCTCAACCACTGAGCCATGCTGGTCAGGCCAGATCTTTTTGGTTTAAATACTTTTTAAAGTTTGTTAGGATGCTAACAAGCTAAAACAATACAGTCTTTATGAAGTGATGGAAAGGAGTTTAATGAGCCCAGGAAAATAACTGCAGTATACCCCCAAAGCAGTGCACAAATAGGCATGTAAATAAGCAGTGAAGCCTTAAAAGTTGGAAAAGTATGGACAAGGAGAACCATTAAAGGGACAAAGATTTTGGGTTGGTAGAGAAAGTGATGAATGAGTTTAGCAATCCTGGTTAAAGGTGTAGTATCTATGGTGGGGGCAATAGGGAGACGTAATTAGAACAGGGATCATCTAAGGAATAATGAAGTACAAATACCAGACCAAGGAAGCAAAGTAGGGTTTGATTTACAGAGTACTTTGAGTGGCAGATTGATAAATTTATATTGAGGGAATAGCCGTTGTAAAGCCTTGCACAGGGAGAGTTGAGAGCAGATTGGATTAAAGAGAAATTGACACCCTAACCGGTTTGGCTAAGTGGATAGAGCGTTGGCTTGCGACTGAAAGGTCCCAGGTTCAATTCCGGTCAAGGGCATGTACCTTGGTTGCGGGCACATCCCCAGTAGGACGTGTGCAGGAAGCAGCTGTTCGATGTTTCTCTCTCATCGATGTTTCTAACTCTATATCTTCCTTTCTGTAAAAAAACAATATATATTTTAAAAAAAAGAAATTGACCGGGGGGCGGGGGTGGGGGGGTTATAGCATTTATTAAGGAACAAAGAATGGGTATTGAGAAAAAATGGTGGAAGAAAACTGGGAAGTGGACTTGCTTACCAAATGCAGGAGATGAATTCAAACAGGATCAAGAAATAGTGTTGATGGGGATAAGGAAATTGGAGAGAGCAAATGATTTTGGAGATAATCAGGAAGAGAAGTGATCTTAGTTTTTGAAATGTTGAGTTGAAGCAGATGGTAGAGCACCAAAAGGGAATTGACCTTTGGGTACAGGGAGAAATGAGACCAGAATGCATATCGGTTAAAGACAGAGATTTTGGGAGCCACCTGAAAAGATATCAAAATTGAAACCTCAAAGTATATACATTTTTAAAAGTATGTATCAATGAGGAAGTAAAAGGACTAAGCAAGAACATAGATAAGGATTTATTGAAAGTTTTAAAGGGAGAGAACAAAGGGGTAAGAAAATCAGGATAGTGTAATGAAAGGAACGGAAGATATTTTTAAAACTTGATGTTGCACTTTTCATTCTGAGAAGTAAGAATTGGATATAACGGATAATCTTAAAGTATGTTTTGAGGATTTAATGGTTCATAGGTTCATACCTATACACTGAGGAAAATATCACTTATCCTTCAAATTTATTGCCTTGCAGTTGATTTTAAGAATGATTTTGGATAGAGGAATTTTGTTCGGCTAACTATGGTCCAGTTCTTTATTTTTTATATATATTTTCAATTACAATTAACAGTATTATTTTGTATTTCAGGTGTACGCCATAGTGGTTAGATAATCATATACTTGGCAAAGTGTTCCCCCTGATACTTCTAGTACCCACCTGGCACCATTCATATTTATTGCAATATTGTTGACTATATTTCCTATGCTGTACTTATGCTCTAGTTCTTTCTCTTTTGGAGTATAAGAAAGTCCAAGAAAAAAATACTTACTGGGTAATATCTTTATTATACTGTTTGACATGGGACTTTTTCTTTATTCCCAATGACAGATCATTTTGTCTCCTGGGATCTCATTTCAGCTATTTTTTATTGTTACTAATGAGTAGAAATACATTTCTGTCCCCTTATCTTTCTAATGAACTTAGGAGATGAGATGCAAATGCCTTAGGAATATTGATTTGAGTGAATTTAATGCATTTTTTTTTCTGTGTATTTACAGATGGGGCGTGAGTGGGTTTGGTTGGATTCTGAACAAGACTATCCCAATGACTCTGAGTTGAGCAACAACTGCAGGTCCCTCTTCAGCTCGTGGGACTCCAGTCTGGATCTTGATGTGGGCAGCTGGAGGGAAACTGAGGAGCCAGGGACTGAGGAATTAGTGGAAAGCAGCCCAGGGACAGAATCTAGTGAGCTGCTTATGGGGGACGGAGGCAGTGAGGAATCTCAGGAAGAGACACAGCAAATCAGCCACCAGAACCTCCTCCACTTTCTCTCTGAGGTAATGGGGAGTCATTATTTCCAAAGTTGGAAGAGTCTTAACGTTAAGAGAATGCTTACTCATATATATTTTTACCACTCTTAATATTATTTACTGAAATATATGCTCCACAGTGGCTGGGACTAAGTTCATTGCTGTGTCTTCAGCACTTGGTACTAACAAAATATGCTTCAAATGTGTACTTTTGGGCTGAATATTATAAAATCCAGTCATTGGGACCCTGACAGGAAATGAAATTTCTGTATGCAGGACTACCCTATAAGAGTATCCTTGCAATTCATTCTTTCAGTCATGAGATGATTCTTGCCCAAACTCACCTTAAAGCTTATAACGTATGACATTAAGGCAGTAATTTACAGTGTTTTTATTACCCTAGTTAAGGTCTGAGGATCAGAAATAAACAGAATTTGACAGTTTATGCAGCAACTACACACACATTCAGCAGAATATAGGTCAAGATCAGCAAGAATCCAGTTCAAATGTTGCCATTTCTGTTTTGGCAGACAAAATTTTCAGCAGTTTGGTAGCCAGTCCCAGTTGATCAGAGTTGACACTTGAGGTGAAAATGTAGAACATAAGCTCCTTGAGGCAAGAACAATATCTTGTTTACTGTTAGGTCCTTACCAACTAGTAATAGTGCCTGTGTATCCTTCCTATATAATAAAAGCCTAATATGCTAAGTATCCGGTTGACCGGTCGGCCGTTCAATGAATCAAAGCATAATATGCTAATGATATTCTAAGGCCGCTCAACCGCTCACTATGACGTGCACTGACCACCAGCGGGCAGACGCTCCAACCAGTAAGTTAGCTTGCTGGTGGGGTCCAGCCAATAGAGACTGAGCAAGATGGGCCCTGGAGCCCTCCCGTGGTCCCTTCCTGGCTGGCCAATCTTCCGTGTCCCTCCCCAGCCCTGATCGTGCACTGGTGGGGTCCCTTGGCCTGGCCTGCACCCTCTCGCAATCTGGGACCCCTCAAGGGATCCCAGAGATTGTCAGAGAGCCGGTTTTGGCCCGATCCCACAGGCCAGGCTGAAGGACCCCACTGGTGCACAAATTCGTGCACCGGGCCTCCAGTATAAGATATTTAATGAATTTTAAATGATTGAAAAAGTTAATCTATTTGCCATCTCAGGCTTAGACACAGTGGCAGTGTAATCATGTGGCATTATTGATATGTAGATTATGATTTCTATTGATGTTTCTAATCTAACGATAGACTATGATTGCAGGTAGCTTATTTAATGGAGCCATTGTGCATTAGCGGCAAAGAATCAAGTGAAGGTTGCTGCCCTTCACCTGATACCAGACAAGAGGAAAGGGAAATTGAAGCTACTGAAGGAGATAAGGAACCCTGCAGAGAGCCTGAAGAGCTTTCAGCTAAGGTAGAACCATTGGTAGCTGAGGAGTCACTGGGAGAAAATGGAAGGCCAGAGGTGGCTCCAGCTCCCTCAGATATTTGTGCAGTTTGGGGACTACCAACAGAGAATGAAGAGGTAAGTGAATAACTTAAACCAGCTGTCTAGTTCTCTGCACAGGGAGGCAGAGCAGAGTGGTAGAGCACATAGGTAACTCCAGAGTTCAACTACCTGGGTCCAAATCTTGGTTTTAGCATCAATTAGCTGTGGGACCTTAAGCATGTTTGTGAACATTTTAGAACCTCAGTTTTCTCTGCCGTAACTGGAATTATTTCTTTCTCTACCTTATAGTTTTGCTGTGAGGTTAAATGATAATTCATGGGAAAAACTTCGCATAGGGCCTAGTTCATAGTAAGCAATCAGTAAAATTCAGAATTTATAATATCATTAATATTATCTGACCAGTTAGACTAGTTAGCTCCAGGACCACAAAAATAATGAAAATTTTAAAAGGATACAGCATCCGCCCTAGCCAGTTTTCTCAGTGGTTAGAGCATCACCCTGGTGACTGAACAGTCGCGGGCTTGATTCTGGTCAAGGGCATGTACCTTGGTTGCAGGTTCGATCCCTGGCCCTGATTGGGGCAAATGCAGGAGGCAACCATTCAGTGTCTCTCACATCGATGTTTCCCTCTGTACCCCTCCCTTCCACTCTCTCTAAAAATCAATGGAAAAAATATCCTCAGGTGAGGATTAACTAACTAAATAAATAAATCTATATAAAAGCCTAAGTGACCTTTTGACCGTTCGCTATGATGCACACTGACCACCAGGGGGCAGACGCTCAATGCAGGAGCTGCCCCCTGGTGGTCAGTGCGCTCCCACAGTGGGAGCATCGCTCAGCTGACTGATGGGCGCCAGATGCCAGGCTCACAGCTGGTGAGCGCCTCTGTGGTGCGAGCCTCTCCTGCGGACATTCCCCCTGTGCACCCCTCCCCCATCTGGACCGGGACCGTGACCAGGATCAGGACTGACATCAGGACTTACTGGGCGTGAGCCTGCTGCTGCTTCTCGGTCATGGGTGCGCTGGTATTACCCTACGACGAGTGTGCAGAGACCGCAGTGGAGGGGCAGTGAGCCTACCGAGTGGCGAGTGGCGGTGGCGGCAGGTGTAGCAGGGCCGGGATGAGCTGGAGTGGCGCGGTGCCCAGCCCGGGCTCAGGCTCCTCCCCAACTATCTGCTGCTTCTCACACTACTACATCCCTCGGGGGATGTTGGATTGACGATTTTGGCCTGATCCCCACAGGCCACGCCAAGGGACCCCACCGGTGCACAAATCCGTGTCCCGGGCCTCTAGTAAATAAATAAAAGGATACAGCATCCATCTAGAATTGAATATATTGCTTTTTTATTTTTTTCTTGGAGTACAGAGTCAAAGTTCTCCAGCAAGATTGTTAACAAGAATTGACTTAGGTCTAGTTAAGTCATATTTCTCTAATTTCTTTTATAGCTTTATATATTTGGCCTCTTCTCACCTTAAGGTCAGCTTTCATTTACTCTATACATGTAAAATTACCTTGCAGAGGCCCTGAACGTGTAGTTCAGTTGGTTAGAGCACTAACCCAGTACTCCAAGGTAGTGGGTTCAATCCCTGGTCATGGTATATACAAGAAACAACCAATGAAAAAATAAATTAATTAATTTAAAAGAAAGAAAGAAACAACCAATGAATGCATAAATAAGTGGAATAATAAATCTCTCTCTCAGTAATAAAAATAAATTAATTAAAATTACCTTGCAGATAGTAAATCTTTTTCTAAAGTTTCCATTGTTTCCTGGCACTCCTAGGGAGAGGTTCAGCAAGAATCCAAAGAAGAGGACCAGGGCGAAGGGTATGTGTCAGAGATGGAAGACCGGCCCTCCTCAGGTGAGTGTGATGATGGCTCTAGCATTCAGGAGGCTCCTCTGGTGGATGTCCTTTTCAGCCATGCTACTTCCTCAAATCTGTAAGTATAGATACTTATCCAAGCTTGTTAGGATTTATGCTTTTACTTCTGTTTATGCCTGTTTGAATTGTTAGCATGAATATAGATTACTTTTGCAAAGTAAAAAAAGGAAATTAGAGTTGGAAAACACTAGAAATAGAATTAAATATAATTTTACTGTATAAATATAAGTCTATATGCTTTCCTCTTATAAAACAAGTCTGTTTTATCAACATTAAGAATCTCTTTCATAAATAACCCTTCTTTCTAATCTTTATTCAGGCAATATTGCTAATTCAGATTGTCCCTCATGTCTGTTATACAAACTATACTTCTTTTAAAAATACTAAGGCAGGCTCTAACCAGTTAGCTCAGTTTGTTAGAGCATTTCCTGATACACCAGGTTATAGGTTCAATCCTTGGTCAGGGCACATATAAGAATTAACCAATGAATGCATAAATATGTGAAACAACAAATCGATGTCTTTCTTGCTCTCGCTCACACTCTCCCTCTCTCCCCCCTTCCTGTCTCTCTAAAATCAATCAACAACTTAATTAATTTAAAAAATGCTAAGATAGCTCCTATTAACTTGAAATGAAAAATTAGTTTGAAGTTATGATCTCTGTTCCTTTTTCACAAATCTTAGGAAATTGTTTATATGCTCGTCTCATCTTTTTATAAGTAATTATGGGGCCAAAGGTTACATTTTAGAATTTTTTTCTTTTTAGTAAAGTGAATTTCTTCTAAATCAGAAAACAAAGTTATTTTTGTTATGATAATAAATAATTCCTTTTCTGGGCCTGATCTTTTGTCCATTGAGAGAAGATAGCATGAACAGTTTTGTTTTCCTGATCCACCCACATATCTGTGGAAAGGCAAACCAATAATTATTTTAGCCTTTTTAAATTTAAGGTATACAACTGAACCATGTATATATATTTTTTAGATAGCAGATTTCAATTTTTTGTTATACAAATAGAATACAGCTTAAAAACTAGGTTATTGAAGAATTGCTTCTTTTGCTTTTCTGTAACTGTGTATGAGAAGATGGCATGTGATAACTATCTAAAAAAACAGGAAATCTCTAATCTGGGACGTATTATTTCAAGATATTTCAGTGTCTTGAATGGCAATAGATATTAGTAATTGAGTTTGCTTGGTCAGATAGTTTAAGGAGAACTAGAAAGCTGAGTTCTTGTGCTGTCATTGGGAAGGTTAAAACTACTTGGAGGGATAGACATTCTCCAGGCCCCTCTTTTCTGTCTTCACCCTTAGTCTGTACTGACTCTCAAGAGTAGAGAGAAGTAGAGCCTTTGGAGCATCACTCCCAGTCTGCAGCTCCTTTCCACTCCCACACTTTTTATTATTATTAAAGTAATTAATTAATTAATTTTAATTTATCTAGATTCCTTATTTTTTATTTTTATTGATTTCAGAGAGGAAGGTAGAGGGGGATAGAAATAGAAACATCAATGATGAGAGAGAATCATCGACTGGCTGCCTCCTGCAGGCCCCGTACTGGGGATCGAGCCCACAACCCAAGCATGTGCCTTTGACAGGAATCGAACCCAGGACTCTTCAGTCCCCAGGCCGACACTCTGAGCCAAACCAGCTAGGGCTCCACTCCCACACTTTTACTTGTAGTTGCTTGCCATGCATTTCTAAATAGGTGGAAATAAAGATAAGCAACAGGTTGTTTCTTAAAATATTGCAAAGGCGATTGATTATGAGGTTACAGAACCTAGTGCAGTACCTTTCATATAATGGAAACGTATTAAATATCTGTTGCATAGATGTGTGAATAAATTGCACCAGCACCAAGGAGTTATTATTCATTCTGGTTGACTGATCAGAAACAAAGGAAGTTTGTTTGCAGGACTTTAAATGCCTTGCTCTGATAGGGTCCTGTGTTTAAGGATAAGTTGATTTTTGTGGTATATAGTTTAGATGCAGGTAAGATATTACATCATGAAAATGAACAGTTACGTGAAGCTGCTCAAATTGGAGAAAGATAAAATGAGATGTGAGTTGTTCTCAAATGGATGCACACTATAAGGTACATAAAGCAAAATGAGGGTGTGAAGACTTAGCTGTGAAGAGAACTCATTTAGAGAAAATAATAGGGTGGATAATGTTTAACTTTGAGTAAATAGAAAACTTGCCAACTTGGAAAATTATAAAAATAAATAGACCTGACTGGGTAGCTCAATTGGTTAGAGCGTTGTCCTCCCTATATGCCAAGGTTGTGGTTTAATCCCTGGTGAGGGCACATGCAAGAGGCAACCAATAATGCATGAAGAAGTGGAAAAACGGATAAATGTTTCTCTCTCCCTCTCTTAAAAAAAAAAAAGAAAGAAAAAGAAAGCATTGAACAGTTTCATCTCTGAAGAAAAACTAAATAGATAGTTTAACTCAGAGAAGGAATGGCCATGAGAATAAATGAAATTTTCTTAGGTATTTTAAGAGTTACTATATAGAGGAGAGCGAAAAGGAAAAATACTTAAATTGTGTAGCAATCAGATAAAATGTGAGAATTCTTTGGGATGTGAAACCAAGTATTTACTTCTGTGGAGACATGGGAGACATAGTTATCAATGTGTCATATTTTTACATAAAAACAGGACTAGATTCATTTATCAGATACTTAATTGAGCACCTATTATGTGCCAGGCACTTGGGAAATACCAGTGAAAAAAGATAGACCAGTATTTTAGAGTCACAGGTGTTAAAGAGCAAATCAGCAAAGAGACCTGCTGGAGACAATTATAGATTTGTAATATACTTTATAAAATGATAACTACTTCATTGAGTAATAGTGATTAGTAAGAGAATATTTATAGAATTTGGGGTCCCTTATGGAAGCATTATTTTTTTATTCTTATAGTGTTATTAAGTAGGAACACTGTCTTGAGAAAACCTCATTACTCCCTAGGAGAGACAGAATGCTATTTTTAAAGTTATTGTTTCTTTTCTGTCCTTTTTTATCCCATAGGTCTGATCTAAGCCAGAGTGATCCTGTTCAGGATCACTTACTATTTAAGAAGACTCTCCTGCCAGTATGGAAGATGATTGCCAGTCACAGGTAGGTCTCCAAACCACTGTTGGTGTTCATAGCGATTTTTCTCATTTAGAGTAACTTTCCACAGTTTCTTCATCCTTTCTGGATTTGTCCCCTAACAGGTTCAGCAGTCCATTTCTGAAGCCAGTGTCAGAAAGGCAGGCCCCAGGATACAAGGATGTGGTGAAAAGGTCAGTGGAAAAGGGGGCAAGAAAGGTTGGTTGCTTTTATGTCTGTCTTTTCTTCCATTATTTTCCATCTATTAGATTATTTATTTCATTTATATTACTTACAAACTTAAGATAAACTTTATAACTAAACAAGTTTGTAAAGTTATGGTGAGCTCAGTCTTTATTTGAGAAGGAATGAAGGGGAACAAAAAGATAAAATAGGCTTATTTTAATTGTTAAATTTTAGGTAATATGATTCATTTATTATGATCTTACATTTGCCTTCAGTAGTTTTGTTTGTTGTTTTAAATATATTTTTTTATTGATTTCAGAGAGGGAAGGAGAGGGAAAGAGATAGAAACATCAATGATGACAGAGAATCATTGATTGGCTGCCTCCTGCGTGCTCCTTACTTGGGATCGAGCCTGCAACCCGAGCATGTGCCCTTGACCAAAATGGAACCCAGGACCCTTCAGTCCGAAGTCTGATGCTCTATCCACTGAGCCAAACCAGCTAGGGCACCTTCAGTAGTTTTTAACATTGTTCTTTTGGAGCAAAATTTTAAAAGGAACACTGTATTCATTCTGATAGTTATAGGTATGGCTAAGGCAAAGATAATAATCCAAATGATGTTACAAACATTGGCTGGTTGCAGTATTTTGGATTTTTATAGCATGTTTCATTTAAACTGCTGTCATAAATAAAGTGATGAACAAAATAGATCCAGAGACATAGAAATATGGAACAGACTGTCAAATATCAGAGGGAAGGTGGGGGTGTGGGTCGGGGAGAGATCAAAGAACTTGTATAGATATATGCATAACCCATGGATTCAGACAGTAGGGTGGTGAAGGCCTTGGAGGCCTGGGGGTAGGCTAGAAGGGATCAATGAGGAGAAAAGAGGGACATATGTTATACTTTCAACAATAAAGATTTTAAAAATAGAAATAAGTAAATAAAAAATGCTGTCATAAACCAGAATGTTAATCCTATCTAATAATAGACAAACATGGTAATTGACCATACCTTCATTACGCCTCCCATCGGCTAATCAGCGAGATATGCAAATTAACCGCCAACAAAGATGGCGGTTAATTTGCATACGTAGGCGCGAAGCGGCGGAGCGAAGACCGAAGGCGGCTCCAGCTGGAGCAGCAAAGGCTTGAAGGCGGCTCCGGCCGGAGCAGCGAAGACTGAAGGCAGCTCCGGCTGGAGCGAAGGCCTGGGTCCCGGGGGCCGGAGGAAAATGGGTGCCGGCAGCCAGGGGAAGGGAAGGCCTATTGCACGAATCTTTTCGTGCAACAGGCCTCTAGTAGAGTATAAAAGATCAGGAAAGGACTATTGGAGACAGATTCCTTCATTCTATAGATAAGGAAACTAAGTCTCAGAGGTGGTCTTCACTTGCCTGTGATCAACAGTGAATAGCAGAGCTGGAACTAAATCCAGATTCTTTTTTTTAAAATATTTTATTTCAAAGAGGAAGGAAGAGGGAGAGAGAGATAGAAACATCAATGATGAGAGAGAATCATTAATTGGCTGCTTCCTGCATGCCCCCCACTGGGGATTGAGCCCGTACCCAGGTATGTGCCCTGACGGGGAATCGAACCATGACCTCCTGGTTCATAGGTGGATGCTCAACCATTGAGACATGCTGGTCGGGCTAAATCCCAGATTCTTACCTCTCACTTCAGTCCTCTTTCTACACTGCTGTTCCTTCTCTTATATACCCACTCTCTGTTTCATTAATAATTTGTCTTAAGCCCTAGCTGGTTTGGCTCAGTGGATAGAGTGTTGGCCTGTGGACTGAAGGGTCCCGGGGTCGATTCCAGTCAAGGGCACAAGGGTTGTGGGCTCGATTCCCAATAGAGGGCATGCAGGAGGCAGCCGATTAATGATTCTCTCTCATCATTGATGTTTCTATCTCTATCCCCCTCTCCCTTCCTCTGCAAAATCAATAAAAAATATATATATTAAAAAATAATAATTTGTCTTAATATTCACTTCTCACTCTTTTCTTTTCCATGAAAGGAGAAAAACAGCCCTGACCCGTTTGGCTCAGTGGATAGAGCGTCGGCCTGCGGACTCAAGGGTCCCAGGTTCGATTCCGGTCAGGGGCATGTACCTTGGTTGCGGGCACATCCCCAGTGGGAGGTGTGCAAGAGGTGGCTGATCGATGTTTCTCTCTCATCGATGTTTCTAACTCTCTATCCCTCTCCCTTTCTCTCTGTAAAAAGTCAATAAAACATATTTTTTTTTAAAAAGGAGAAAAACATTCTCAGCTTTTGATTATGCAATAATAAAAGTAGATTTAATATCTAATATATGACTCCACATTGTAAATAATCAGTCAATAACTACCATATGACAAACTGATCATTGGAGTTACTTACAGCTTTGGTACCTGGGGCCAACCCTCCTCCTACAATAGTAGACCATAGTGGTTGTGCCTATAGGTTCTGAAGTCAGACTGCCTCCCAATTAGATTCCAGGTTGTGTGACTTTGAGCTAGTACTTAACCTCTTCAGATCTCAGTTTGCTCATTGTCAGTTGGTTGTAATAATGGTACCTACCTTATAGGTTTATTGGGAGGTTTAACTGAGTTAAATGGAAAGTACCTAATTTAGTACTTGGCCTATTTTAGGTAGTAGCAGTCAAATGTTAACTGCTGTTGCTATTTTATTATATGATGAGGATTGTTATCTTTACTACCATTTTCATTAAGAGCTAGTTACTGCCCTAGCTGGTTTGGCTCAATAGATAGGGCATCGGCCGAGGACTGAAAAGTCCCAGGTTTGATTCCAGTACCTTAGTTGAAGGCTTGATTCCCAGGAACATGTGGGAGGCAACCAATCAATGTGTCTCTCTCACATTGATGTTTCTCTGTCTTTCCCCCTCCCTTTCACTTTGTCTAAAAATCAATGGAGCCCTAGCCAGTTTGGCTCAATGGATAGAGTGTCGGCCTGTGGACTGAAGGATCTTGGGTTCAATTCCGGTCAAAGGCATGTACCTTGGTTGCAGGCTCCTCCCTGGCCCAGGCCCTGGTCAGGGCTCATGCACGAGGCAACCAATCGATACATCTCTCTCACATTGATATTTCTCTCTTTGTCTTTCTCTCTCTTCCACTCTCTCTAAACATCAATGGAAAAATATCCTCGGGTGAGGATTAACAAAAAAAAGAAAGAAAGAAAGTGGGTTACTGCCCTGGCCTGTGTAGCTTAGTGGGTTGGTCATCGTCCTGTGCCCCTAAGGGTTGCTGGTTCGATACCCAGTAGGAGGCAGCCGATCAATGTTTCATTCTCTCATAGATGTTTCTCTCTCTTCCTCTCCCTTTTTCTTTCTCTAAAAATCAATTTTTTAAAATGCATTAAAAAACCCCAAACTGGTTAGTTCTTCAAGAGAGCATGTTATGTCATCACATGTTCCACATGAAGGTTAGATTTCCTCTGTGTTTTTTCTTTGGTCACCTGTAGACCCATGGACTTAACTACCCTGAAAAGGAATCTGTCTAAGGGACGGATTCGCACCATGGCACAATTCCAGCGAGACTTGATGCTGATGTTCCAAAATGCTGTGATGTACAATGACTCTGATCATCATGTGTATCATATGGCTGTGGAGATGCAGCGAGAAGTCCTGGAGCAGATTCAGGTACTGTATGTAGACAGCTGCAAGAAAAATAAGTGTAATCTCTGGAATCAGATTTTAGAAAGTCTGAGAATAAGGGTGGGTGATGTTGAAGTGTTTCCAGAGTTTATGTTTAGAGGTGATTCAAGGATTAACATTTTACCTTCTGGTTTGGAAAATCCTGAGCCTCAGTAGGACCAGTTTTAACAGTGAAGTACTGAAGGGTTCTCAAGAGAGCTGTAATGGTAGTGGGAGCTCCTGCTGCCAGAGTCTCAAACCAGAGGGCTAAACATGTAAACCAGAGGCTAGAGTCACTGTCCATTTTAAATGTTAATATTAATGTATGTTCACACTGTCTGTCTATAGGGGATAAGATATAGTAGCCAGAAGATTATATTTGAGGGTTTCTTTTCTGGGTAACATCATATTTTACAGAAAAAAAGGCTAATCAAATTTCACTGTGGAAAAGAAATTCAAACCTCTGTGGCTTTTAAGATTCATAGCTTGCTATCTGCCTTGACCCTGTAGGTGCTGAGTATTTGGCTAGACAAAAGAAGAAACTTAAATAGTCTGGAATGAGAACCAGCCAACCCAGTGCATGATGAAAAGCCTGTTTTGTTAACCTGGAGCTGCTACCCTGACCTTTTCTGGAATTTGGACCTTTCATTGAGACTGATCCAGAGAAGATCCCAGTACTTGTTTACCTTCTCTGTTGTCTTTCATAATAAGAATAATACCTTAACTCACAACCTAGGAGTCAAAGATGCCTGTGGACATAATTTTAAGAAAAGGGGGGAAACTTATTTGATGTAATAAATATCACCCATATCTTTGTTCTATATCTATAGGCTTAATTTAGAGGTAATTGGATTAGACCTCTTATGACTGCTCTATAAATAAATGTTACTTCACAAGTATAAGATTGCTTTTTAATGATTACAGAAGCTGGGAATAGAGGGGACAGCATCATTTGGTGAAATGAGGAAGGTATTTGACATGGAAGGGTGATGGGGTGGGTGAAGGGAAAGTGTTTATGCTTTGTCTCATTTATAAAATGGGGATAATTGAAGCATGCTTCAAATGAGTAGGAGGATGAAAGAAGCTAAATTATGACGAAAATGTAAGAAAATGTCTAGTACGCTAAGATTCTTAAGGGGAATAAAAATGCCTGTGGCTGGCTCCCTTGATTAAGAGGAGCCCTCCAGAGGCTGTGAAACGGGCTGCTGGGATTGACTCTCTGCAGCCACCGTCCCTAAACTGGGCTTCACGTCTCCTAGCAACCAGTAGTGGTCGCACAGGACGTGTTAGCACTGAGGTGAGTGCCCAGACCAACCTCAGACTCAGAATCTGCGGCTGCGGCTGGGAGAGGTCCAGGAGACCTGGGATCCTACTTTCCAACCCTTCCTGACCCTACTATGCATAGTCATCCTGGCGGGCCGGGGCGCTGAACCTGTCGCTGTATCGCGGAGAGTTGCCTACACAGTCTCCGGTTGCTGCGCCTAAAATCTTCGCCATTTCCAGCCTTCAAGTTGCCCTGTGGCATCTCCACCTCATTGAAAGTATTTAGGAATCTCTCTCTCTCTCTCTCTCTCTCTCTCTCTCTCTCTCTTTCTCCCCCCCCCCCCCCCCCTCGCTCTCCCCCCCCTTCCCTCTCTCCTCTCGTTTTCTTTTTTGCTCAATCCTCATGGACATAGACAGTAGTGTAATGATTGCGGAGGGATGGGGTGGGGTGCAGGTGGAAGTGGGCATAGAGGGGATAAATAGTGATGATGGGGGAGACGGGGAGAAGAAAAGACAGTGTTCAGGAAATCCCAAGGCACAACCACAGAGTAGAAATTGTATACAGGCATACCTCCTTTTATTGCACTTGCTTTCTGCGCTACACAGGTATTGCATGTTTTACAAACTGAAGGCAAGACCCTCCATCAGCAAAAAAGATCACACCCTTTATTGTGATACTCGAGACAGAACCTGCAATATCTCCCATGTATGCCTGTATCAAAGACACTGCTTATAGAAAAATATATTGCAGTTTCTAACTTTATAAATTAATAAGATCAAGCACTTAATAATGCCGTTCTTAATCACAATTACATTTAATTGGGTCGGGGGAATGCATGTCATTGCAGTTGATACCGTCAAGAATCTCTTTAACTTGTACCTCAAAAAACCAGAATGGAACTATCGATGTCCCCACTTCAGATATATGTAGAAAAAACTCTGGCCATTATCAAACCAGATATTGTTGACAAAGAGGAGGAGATACAAGATATTATTATCAGATCTGGATTCACCATTGTTCAGGTAACTTTTGGGGACATGATTATGTTATTTTCTCTCATTGATCTTTATTTTTTATGTTTATGTAAATGTGTTAACCTATTTAGATCCATAGTATTTAGCATTAAATTTAGGTTTATTCTTCTAACTATAAAAGTTACATGAGATAGTTTTAAAGTTTTTTTTCACACTTCAAAATATGTAAAATGAAAAATAAAATTCTTTTACCTCCTCTCCCACTCCAAATCCCAGTCTTCAGAAAGGGGCAACCACTTAACACTTTCTGTTCTTCCAGTATTTTCTATGCATTCACAAGTATCTCTCTCACCCCTTAAAATAGGACAATCCCCTTCTTTTGACCACCTTTACAAATCCCTCAAATAGCATTTCAGATCATTACATCTGAATCTAGCTTATTCGTCCTAACTTTTGTGTAATATCCCCCTGTGTGGATGAACCACAATTTATTTACTTGGTCCTCTTTAAAAAAAAAGTATTGATTTTAGAGAGAGAGGAAGGGATAGGGAGAGAGAGATAACATGATGAGAGAGAAACAACATTGTTTGGCTGCCTCCTGCACACCCCCTGCTGGGGATTGGGCCCACAACCCAGGCTCTCAGATTGGGAATCCAACCAATGACCTCTTGGTGCATGGATCCATGCTCAAGGACTGAGCCACACTGGGTGGACTACTTGGTCCTCTATTGATAGACTTTGAGACTGTTGGTATTTTTTTTTCAATAATTACAAACAATGTTTTAAGCCTTTTTTGTTCTGCAGTTGGTAGAGGTTTGAAAATGAATGTAAAAAAATATTAAATAGAATTTAATATGTTTAATCTTCCTTTTTTGTAGCATTTTTATTTGAAATTCCAGTTTTTAATCTCTTATACTGTGTCATATTGCCTATTTAGTCAATGTTTTAAAAAATGAAAAGGAGAATCTTCAGGAAAGAAATGGGATATCAGTTGAACTTAGGATGGGTGGAGGCTGAAGATAGGAATGGTATAAGAAAGTGTAAAGAAAGAATACAGGAAAGTATAAGGAGATATTTCATATAGTAATGAAAGGACTCAGGTAAAATGAACTTTTTAATAAATGTTAGGAAAACCAAGTAGCAATTTTTTAAAAACTTGGATTGGCCTTTTGGCTCTCTGAGCAGCACCATGGCAGTGGGCAAGAACCAGTCTCTTATGAAAGGAGGCAAAAAGGGACTCAAGAATAAAGAGGTTGACCCATTTTCTTTTCTTTTCTTTTTTTTAAAATATATTTTATTGATTTTTTACAGAGAGGAAGGGAGAGGGATAGAGAGTTAGAAGCATCAATGAGAGAGAAACATCAATCAGCTGCCTCCTGCATACCCCCTGCTAGGGATGTGCCCGCAACCAAGGTACATGCCCTTGACCGGAATCGAACCTGGGACCCTTCAGTCTGCAGGCCGACGCTCTATCCACTGAGCCAAACCAGTCAGGGCAAGAGGTTGACCCATTTTCTAAGAAAGATTGTATGATGTGAAAGCACTAGCTATATTCAATATAAGAAATATTGGAGCCCTCGCCAGTTTTTCTCAGTGGTTAGAGCATCAGCCCTTGAACAAAAGGGTCGAGGGTTCAATTCCTGGTCAAGGGCATGTTCTATCCCTGGCTCCAGTTAGGGGCACATGTGGGAGGCAACCAATTGATGTGTCTCTCTCACTTTGATGTTCTCCCTTCCACTCTGTCTAAAAATCAATGGAAAAAAATATCCTCAGGTGAGGGTTAAAAATAAATAAATTAATTAATTAATTTTTAAAAAGAAATGTTGGAAAAACACTAGTCATGAGAACTCAAGAAACCAAAATCACATCTGATGGTCTCAAGGGTCATGTTTTTGAAATGAGCCTAGCTGATCTGCAGAATAAGTTGCATTTAGAAAATTCAAGCTAATTACTGAAGCTGTTCAGGCAAAAACTGTGACTAATTTCCATGGCATGGATCTTACCTGTGACAAAATGGTAAAAAAGTGGCAGATCATGATAGAAGCTCATGTTGATGTCAAGATTAGCAATAGTTATTTGCTTCATCTATCTTTGTTGTTTTTATTTTATAAAGAAGTGAAACAATCAGATTTGGAAGACTCTTAAGCTCAGCATCAACAGGTCCACCAAATCCAGAACCTGATGGAAATCATGACCCAAGAAGTGCAAACAAATGACTTGAAAGAAGTGGTCAATTAATTGATTCCAGATAGCATTAGAAAAGGCAGAAAAAGCTTACCAATCTATTTATTCTCTCCATGATGTCTTTGTAAGAAAAGTCAAAATGCTGAAGAAGTTCAAATTTGAATTGGGAAAACTCATGGAGCTTCATAGTGAAGGTAGCAGTTCTGGAAAAGCTACTGGGGATCAGACAGGTGCTGAAGTTGAATGAGCTAATGGATATGAGCCCCCAGTCTGAGAATCTGTTTAAAATTCAGACATTTAATGGTGACAAATAAAAAATCCTATTTGTGATTTTTTTAAAAGTTGGATTCAAGTATTATACTACATACATGGCAAATGGTTCTGAAATTTAAATATTAAAAATATAAACCATATATATTCTAGAAGAAAAGATGAATTTCTTTTTTTTTAAATTTTTTTGTTGTTAATTTCACCCTAGAATATTTTCCATCGATTTTTTAGGGAGAATAGAAGAGAGAGGGAAAGACAGAGAGAAACATCAATCTGAGAGAAACACATTGATTGGTTGCCTTCTGCACCAGGGCCCAGGCCAGAGAGAAGCCTGCAACCAAGGTACATGCCCTTGACCAAAATCAAACCCAGGACCCTTTGGTCTGTATGCCAATGCTCTATCAACTGAGCCAAACCAGCTGGGGCAAGATGATTTTCTTTATTCTTGGAGTGGGACAGCCTTTTTTACTTTGACTTAAAGTCTAGGAACCATGAAAGATAAGATTGATAGGACTATAAACATAAAAAACTTCTGCATGACCAAATAAACACCGTAGGCAAAGTCAAAACACAAATGACAAACTTGAAAAAAAGGTTTGCAACTCATATCACAAAGGCCTAATCTCCCTAATATAGAAAGAGCTCCTAGAAAAAGATAAAAATTCAGCTGAAAATTGGCAGAACATGTAGATGATCACAGAGAAAGAAAAATGCTTCTTGGCCCTGACCCCGTAGTTCACTTGGGTAGAGTGTGGTTCCAGTACCGCAAGGTCACAGGTTTGATCCCTGGTCAGGGTACATAAAAGCATCAACCAATGAATGCATGAATAAGTGGATCAACAAATCAATGTTTCTCTCTCCCTTCCTCTTTCTCAAAAATCAGTTAAAAAAAGAAAACAAATGCTTCTTGAACATATGAAAAGATACTCAATCTCTAAGTATGAAAAAAGCAAATTAAAATAACACTGAGAAAGCATCTGTCAAAAATATAGAAGTACATGGCATGGCCCCTGTGGTAGGGAATCTGGCAAGTTTCTATCGTTATTACAGATGGCATACCCTATTACTCAACAGTCCTACTTTATATCAATACGTGTATTAGTATATCTAATGTATGTATTAATAGGAAGTGACATATATAGGTGTTTTTAAAAATATATTTTTATTGATTTCAGAGAGGAAGAGAAAGAAACATCAATGGTGAATCATTAATTGGCTACCTCCTGCATGCCCCACACTGGGGATCGAGCCCACAACCCAAGCATGTGTCCTGACCGGGAATGGAACCCAGAACCTCTTGGTTTATGGTCTGATGCTCATCCACTGAGCACACTTGCTGGGTGTGGCTTTATCGCTAATAGGTTCATTCTCCTCCCGATGGATAGACGCCTTGATACCTTTCACAGCTGGTTGTTATGTGGATCACTGTTCTCTGCTCTGGTGCTCTGGGCTGAGCTTGGCGTGTGGTCCAGGCCTTGCTCCTCTCCAGGAAAACTCCCCACAACCTAGATATCCCTCCTTACCCTTGGCCTGCAGCCTGTCGGAGCTGGGCCAGTCCCTCTCTTGACCCAGCCTTTCGTACCAGTCTTGAGGTAGTTTCTGCACTTTCTTGTTAAAAATCTCCTCTTCAGCTAGTCCTCAGGGTGAATGTTCCCCAGTTTAGTTTTATTTCCAGTTTGGTTCTGGGAGGAAGTACAAGAAAGATCCACCTACTCTGCTGCCATCTTGAAACCACTGCATATTATTTCTAAGTGCCACAGTGAGACCAGTTCCCTTAAAATACTGTAAGAGATTTTCACAATAAATAGGAAAATACCACAAATAGATAAGAAGAATGAATTGGAATATTCTAAGGTCCATTTTTGTTACTTTAATGTACACAGAGTATACATCAACAAAATACTGCCCTGGCTGGTGTGGTTCAGTGGTTAGAGTGTTGACCTGCACACCGAAGGATCAGAGGTTCGATTCCCATCATTGATGTTTCTATCTCTCCCTCTCCCTTCCTCTGAAATCAATAAATATATATATATTTTTAAAAAGCATGTGTTGATGGAATAGTTTTTCTTAAGTTGGTTAAATAATTCTTATAATTTTATTTACATCCTACATTTAATTTTCTTACCTCATCCTTTCTTCATAATACAAAAAAAATGTCAAATTTGTAATCAGGTTGGTACTAATTTCAAGTTATTAATGACTTAACCAGGTATTATTGAACTGTCACTTTAAATGCTTTTGTTGATTTTGTTTCTCTTATAGAGAAGAAAATTACAGCTTAGCCCTGAGCATTGTAGTAACTTTTATGTGGAACAGTATGGAAAAATGTTTTTCCCCAACTTAACAGCTTATATGAGTTCTGGACCACTTGTTGCCATGATATTAGCTAGACATAAAGCCATCTCTTACTGGAAAGAACTTTTGGGGCCAAGTAATAGCTTAGTAGCTAAGGAGACACACCCAGACAGGTAATTTTCTTTTTTTTCTTTCTTTTTTGTTGTTGATAAAAACCATACATCCTTTTTATTGTTAAGTCATAAAGAGGTATCAAAATTAAAAGCAAAAATTACAGGGTTAAGACTTAACTACTAGGAGCATCAAAGGAAGTGAAAATGGGACTAGGCGCAGGGCAATATGAATTAATGAACATGGGAAGGACGAGATGGGGAGAACAGTGAGCATGTGCTGAAGGTACTAGGGAGAGGATCTGGTGAAAATTTTGATCTTAGACAAGTGCCTAGATAAAGACATAATGGGACAACATTTCTAAACCCCACTATGTGCTTAAGAGTCATCCTCGCCATTGCGCTGTCCCTCAGGTAATTTTCCTAGGGAAAAATGCAATCTAACTATGAAAATGAAAAAAAAAATCTGATTTCATTGTAATAGGGATTTTCTTTTATTTGAAAGTTTTCCTCAATTTAACTGGTTTTTTTGTTGTTTGGTTTTTTGGGGAGGCAGAGAGGTCCCGATTTTCTTTTATTTGAAAGTTTTCCTCAATTTAACTGTTTTTTTTTTGTTGTTGTTTGGTTTTTTGGGGAGGCAGAGAGGTCCATTTTATGTTTTAACTATTTAAATCTGTATCTTAATACCAAATAACACAAAAGGTCTCAGGGAATGTCTGTTTATGGTTGATTAACCTTATTCTCTTATCCTGGAATTAAACTACCACTAAAGTAGGGTTTTTCATGAGAAAATTGGTGTGGTATTTTGAAAGAATATTGATAATATAGGACCAGAAATCAAGATTTCCAGCATTATCATTAATGTCTAGAAACCAGTGGACATTGAATTCCTGCACTTTTTAAAAAAATACATTTTTATTGATTACAGAGAGGAAGGGAGAGAGAGATACAAGTATCAATGATGAGAATCATTGATCAGCTGCCTCCTGCACACCCCACACAGAGGATCGAGCCTGCCACCTGGGCATGTGCCCTGACTGGGAATTGAACCATGAACACCTAGTTCATATAGGTCGACGCTCAACCACTGAGCCACGCCAGCCAGGCGAGTTCTTGCACTTTTGAATTGATATTGCTTTTTCACTTCTCACAAAACACCTCTTTTTCATCCAGCGAACTCCTATTTTCCCAGTGTATCCCTCCTGAAGATTTTAAAGATATTTGACCCTCATCTAGATAGATTAAAGCTTGAATTCAAGCTTAAAACCATATGTGAGAAGTGGCAAAGCTTTTGTAAAATACCTAAACAGGATGCATATGTGAAAAGTAAGAAAAAGGTTGTCAGGTAGGATGGTCATCATCTCTAACTTGCTTTTAGTCTAAGGGCAATTTATGGCACAGATGACCTAAGGAATGCACTTCATGGGAGTTATGATTTTGCTGCAGCCGAAAGAGAAATTCGATTCATGTTTCCTGAAGGTGAGTTATAGATAAGTAATTAGTCAATTGCATCTCCTTATTGTTTGCTTTTTCTTTTATTTTGGGATGTAACTAGGAAAAAAGTAATTGCTTTTCTCCAATATATTTTGTCGTATTTTCAAGTTGTAGTTAAGTTAAAGCCAAGAATAGAAAACTCAACATTATCTTCAGAACTAAATTGTGCCTTCTAGGAAATCTTTTGAGAACAGTTTAATTTTTTTTCTTTCTTTTCTCTTGGACTAGAAATATTTAGGGTTTCTCTTCTCCTTCTGTGTTGTAATTCCTCTGAGTTATCTATAATGCATCAGTGAAGTTTGTTACATATGAAAAAAAGAATCTTCCTTGGAAATTATGATTGGTTTACCATTTTCTCTAACAGTTTACTGTTTGTCCAGCACACATGCAACTGTGAAATTAATATTTCTTGGCCTTTTTTTGTTTGTTTCCATCCTGTTATAGAGATTATAAATCATTTATTTATTTATTTAATATATTTTGATTTCAGCAGAAAGAAAGGGAGAGAGATAGATACATCAATGATCAGAGAGAATCATTGATTGGCTGCCTCCTGTACACCCCACATTGGGGATCGAGCCCACAACCCGGGCATGTGCCCTTGACCAGAATTGAACCCGGAACCCTTCAGTCCGCAGGCCAACGCTCTATCCACTGAGCCAAACCAGCTTGGGCTATAAATCTTTTAGAAGTAGGCACAATGAGGACAACACTGAGGTTTTTAGTTTGTTTTCAGTAATTTTAAGACAAAGAAAATTTGCTGATTTTCATTATAAAGACAAAATGCGAAGCATCAGGTAGTTTTGAATTTTTTTTTGCATGTTATTTCTTTTCTAACTCACTTAGACTTGTTCCTCTCTATTTTATACTGAATATTTATTCAAAGAAAACAGAAAACTAACTTGGGTATTTAAAAGTCCTGATTTTTAAACAAAAACTGTTTTATAGATATTTGTATCCAAAAGTATTTGCCTACTTATATTTAATCTTACTGATCTAATTTCTGTCACATATCCATTGTATTAAGGTGTCGTTTTCTTCACAACTGCTTATTGTGTAAAATTTCCAACATACACAAAAGTAGGCAGAATAATATGATAAACCCCTAATGAACCCATCACCCAATTTTAATAGTTATGGTCAATCTTATTTCATCTATAACCCCTGCTCCTATTTCTCCTGCTTCCATATTATTTTGAAGCATATCTCAAGCATCAGTTTGTGTGTTTTTTGTTTTCTTTTTATTAATATATTTTTATTTATTTTAGAGAGGAAGGGAGAGGGAGAGTGAGATAGAAAGATCAATGATGAAAGAGAATAACTGCTTGGCTGCCTCCTGCACACCCCCTACTGGGGATCGAGCCTGCAACCCAGGCATGTTCCCTGGCCGGAATTCACACTGTGACCTCCAGATTCATAGGTCGATGCTCAACCACTGAGCCACGCCAGCTGGGCAACATCAATTTTTTTTTTTAATGTTGTAGTACTTTAGATTTAGTCCTACTAATGAATTAGATTTTTCCTCCTTAGCTTTTAACTAAAATAGGATAAAAACTCACTTTATCTTAAGTGGAAGATAAATTTGGAAGCTCTTCTTACTCATAAGGTTATATCCCTAAACTGTTATTTTAGATTGCCTTTTATTTAACCCATTAATTAATCCTCTAGATATGAATTTAAAAGATACAGTTAGACATTTGAGAATCAGCAGTTATAGGATACATATAAGTGATTAATTACCACATTGCAGATCTTTTGCTGTGGGAATATGAAGTTATTTGGCATAAGTTCTCAGAGTTTGTGGTATGAGCTCCATCTTGTTTAGCAGTCAGTCAAGAACTATGTGCAAAACCCTATATGGTGAGTGGCTAAAGCAAGTTGTAAAGATATTCAAAAACATATTGCTAACCCTTAAAAAAATTAGTGCTCTTCCTTTTCCCTTTAATAGGGATGGCTGGTAAAGCTTTGCTACCTTCCATTCATTCAACAAATTTGTTGAGTTACCAACTTAATAAAAACAAAGTCAAATAAGATGTCCCTACTCTCAAGATGATCTTATTCTAAAAGCCTATGAAGATATACAATGCAATGTATAAATTATAAATGTCATTAAAAAGTGCAATGAAAGTTTATCAACATAAGAAACATAAAAACACTTTTTATTCTCATGACCTCATTTAGCCCTAGATGCCAGAGACAAATGATAAATGGTCAGCAAAAATAAATGAGGTAGAAATAATTCAAAAATGAAGTTAAGGAAATAATTTTATTTACAATAGCATCAACAATAAGAAAATACTTAAGAATAAATTTTAGCCCTACCTGGTTTGGCTCAGTGGATAGAGCATCGGCCTGCGGACTGAAGGGTCCTGGGTTTGATTCTGGTCAAGGGCACATGCCCGGGT